GGTGCTACAGCTTGCTCGTTTCCAACCCAACGTACTCCTTGATTACCAGAGATGGTCTTACATTCATCGCAGATAGTTTCATTGGCGAGTGTGCGTACGAGTGGTCCAATGTCGGGATTCGTCTTGGGGTCAGTACCAGAATCGAACCAGAAATAAAACGGTTTGGAATATTCAGAATCATGTCCTAATAACTCTTTAAGCTGCGCCAAAACTATTTCGTTATAAAGTTTTTGATCCTTTTCATATTTTGTACTGTAATTCTCCACATTCATAAACCAGTTCCTGTATACACTGTAAAAATATCCATGCTGGATGTTTTTCTTCTTACATGAGTTGATAAAGTCCAGAGCAATATTTCCCTTCCCATCCCTCCATCGGGTGTTCTTGACAGAGTAGCTATAAGTCCCACTCGGCCAAAGTAAGAATCCGCTAAAATGGTCGAGCGTCAAGACCACGTATTTGGCGCCAAAACTTGCAGCCGCGTCTATCCACTGGTCTGTTGATAGGTTGTATGGGTTGAACGTGTCTGGAGGAGCGACATGATCTGAAATATGTGTCAATAAAAAATATTTATATTTATTTTGTTCTCRTAAAACATTTTGGTCTAATTGAAACATTACAATACCGAAATACATTGTCGTTTGTTGTATATCCATTGAAATGGATTTACATTTAGGTAGAGTGGAAAGTCCTTAAAGTAATTTACCGTGCCCAGGCCTCTACGGCCAGCACGGTTATAAAATGCAAGCACTGTGTTTTTAACGAGTGCTCGGCGATTTCCTCACAACTTTACACCGACTGGGACAACTTTGCTCCTACTGATAAAACTACATAGTATGTTAGCGGTCGTCCAAGGAAATGAGACTACTGGACATTTTTGCTATTTGGGGCACTGTAGAATGCAAGCACAATATTTTTCCACGTTATGTTTTACCCGAGCGCTCGGCGATTTCCCTACGAGTTAACATCGACTGGGAAAAAAAATTGCTCCCGCACTGATAAAACTACAAGGGGATGAGACTACTGGACATTTTGACTATTTTGATCATGAAAAAGAAACTATACAAGAGGTTGGATTCTGAGCGACAACTTTTAATATACCGAGTTGATTTGAGCGAGATCAAGAAACAAGAGCGATTACTTTTGAGTGAACCTTCTAATGGGAATCAAGAGCCAGAGGAAAAACTAACTTTTAAGTGAATATTCTTTTGACAATCAAGAGCGAATACTTTTCGAATATTCCTCACGCACATCCCGCGCCGATGACCCGGAAATTACAAAGAATTTRAAATGAGTTTCACGCTCCCTCGGCCAACTAAAGTCCTTCAGAACTAGTCTCCTTTTCGTACTATCTAACGTTTGAAATTAATGATTTTTTTTTCAGAATAAGAAATCAACTGGAATTATTTGACATGGATTTCGCACTGTATCCTAGTATTTTTCGAGACTTTGCCTGCCCAAATAAAATGTTGTCAAAAACGTCACCTGTCCCAGGTCCACTAGAACATGCGCTAGAACGTGGATTCATCTTCATTATGTTCTGGTTCATTGATATTGACTCCAAATAGCCTCTATTTGTCAGCATTTAATTTGATTTTATTTCATGGTTTTCCTGCGTTTGCTCTAGCATTATAACTTCCCTTTATTTCTAGTCATGTGTCTCATAATTAATGCCATATGCGGTCCTTACATTCATACCAACACAATATACAGTCCTTCGTGACCTTACGTAATTGTCCTACATAGTCCTAAGCCYCAAATTTTAACTCGTTGGCCACATRTTTGTACGCTTTCAAACATTTCAACATAAAATCTCTTTTTGAATATAACCATACCTCGTTTCATTTGTCGATTAAAAGTCTGCATATTAAAGTGAATCGACGCACCSAYTTCATAATCCAGCCACTGAGCTTGACTTTTACTAGGCTTTGCAGGAATAAATGATCCATCAGRCGAKCCAAATACTRTTACTACGAGGCCCAAGACCTCCGATATACCAAGCAGTAATGCAACATCCATATATTTAGCCATAYTTATGTTCTAGTCAAACGAAATACAGCCAATTTTCCGAAGTGTGAAGTCCATGGGGGGTTGGTCACGCGATTTTCTGTTTCACAAAGCTCGGTCGGAGCTGGGATCTAGGTAAGTCATGATTCGTGTATTCATATAAACAAGCCAGACAAGCTGAAGTTTAGCTTACAATCAATAATTCACATTCTTCAATTCTCTACTACATATTAAAGCTCAAGCTATATCAATTATCCGGCCATCTTCAAACAAACAAACAAACAAAAATATTTATA